GTTGTGGTCAGGCCACGCCTTGATGACTTGAATCTTGTCGGGTGCGGGTTTTATACCCTCCGCGCTAACGGTATAGCCCAGGTAGGTAAGCTCCCGCTTTGCAAATTTGCATTTAGAGAACTTGGGGTAAAATTGCTGGTCAAGAAAAATACCGAGTACCTGTTGGAGGAGAGCAACATGGCTGGGAAGGTCAGGGCTGTAAATGAGGACGTCGTCAAGGTACGCGATGACTCCCTGACCTAATAAAGGCTGTAAGTATGCATTAATGTTGGCCTGAAAGGTAGCAGGTGCGCCCTTAAGACCAAAGGGCATGACCTTATACTCGAATAACCCCATAACAGAACGGAAAGCCGTCTTCCACCTGTCCTCCTTGGCCATCCTTATCTGGTGAAATCCAGACTCGAGATCGAGGGTGGAAAAGTATCGGGCCCCCCCCAGCATCTCAAGAATCGTCTGAATAGGTGGTAGGGGAAAGTCTGGCGCAATCGTAAGGGCGTTCAGCTCCCGGTAGTTGACAACCATGCGCATCTTACGCTCGCCCGTCTCATCACTTCGCTTATCCACCATAATCGTAGGTGCGCAGATCGGAGAATAAGTAGGGCCGATCCACCCATTAGCAGACAGCTTAGCTATCTCCTGTTTGTGAAACAGAAGTTGTTCGGGGGTCATGCGGTAAATCGCCGATTTCGCAGGGAGTTTCCCTGGCACGAGAAGAATTCGGTGATCGTGGGGGCGTTTCGGTGGCAGTCCGGTAGGAAGTTTATCTGGAAAGACCGCACGGTTGGCACACAACACCTCCAGTACCACTCGTGGAGTGTCCTGCGCCTCCTCGGAGTTTAGCCACGTATCAAAATTCGAGTACTCTAGTTTGGCCGTTGGCCAAGGAGACGTTTCCTCGTCGTCGGTATACGCGGAAACGGGTAGTGCCTGAAGACACTGCCGGCGGGAATTGGAAAGGGAGGTCTCAACCAAGGCACAACATAAAGCCCCTTGCCTCTCCTCCACTAGACGCAGAGCCACGTCCGTCTCCATTGCGGGAAGCGCTAGTATAACGTAGAGCCCTTGAAGGGGGTGGCGTACAAAGGCCGCACTCTCCGAAACCTGCTGGGACAGGGCGGCGACCACAGCTTTCCGCTTGCCCTTGGAGGGTGGCTTGTACTTCTTAGTGGGAGGACGTAGAAGCGCCGTAGCTTCCTCCCGAGTCATGTCCGCCACCTGCTTAG